AAAAAAACAAAACAAACCCCCCCACACAAGCACACCCACACACCTGGGAGACCAAACTTGGTTCAGCAAACAAACAAACCCTAAGGAGACAAAAGCGGCGAGGAATCCTGTGGCACCTTATAGACTAACTGGTGTGTAGGAGCATAAGCTTTCGTGGGCAAAGACCCACTTCGTCAGATGCATCTGACGAAGTGGGTCTTTGGCCACGCAAGCTTATGCTCCTACACACCAGTTAGTCTATAAGGTGCCCCAGGATTCCTTATAGACTAACTGAAGTGTAGGAGCATAAGCTTTCGTGGGCAAAGACCCACTTCGTCAGATGCATCTGACGAAGTGGGTCTTTGCCCACGAAAGCTTATGCTCCTACACTTCAGTTAGTCTATAAGGTGCCACAGGATTCCTCGCCGCTTTTGCAGATTCAGACTAACATGGCTACCCCTCTGATACTTAAGGAGACAAAAGTTGAGAAAAAAAAAGGCACTGCGCCTTTAAGGATCCCCGCACTCCTACCCCCAGCCCTACTTTCACCCACCGCACCTGGACCCTCCTTTGTAGAGCACTTTGAGATCGATGGGCGAAAAGCACCAGCTAAGAGCCAGGGATGATGATTCATATCAGGCATATACCATGAAAAATAGCAACATCGAGTGCCCATTACTGCTGGGCCTAACTGCCTGTGGTTATTAGAACTGAAAGAACCTTAAAGATCACCTGGCGCGTGTCTGTGCGCGTGGTGCTGGGACTTTTTGCAGTTCTCCAGCTCAGCTTTACTGTGTTTCAATTTGGGGCCTAGGCAGTTTCACTTTCTGGCTCATTCACTCAAGGAGCCTGCAACCCGGCCAAGTGGAAGGTCACATATGAACGAGTCAGCAGTGCTAGACTCATGGATTCCAAAGGCAGAAGGAACCACTGTGGCCATCTAGTCTGACCTCCTGGATAACACAGGCCATGGTTCTCCAGCTCAGCTTTACTGTGTTTCAATTTGGGGCCTAGGCAGTTTCACTTTCTGGCTCATTCACTCAAGGAGCCTGCAACCCGGCCAAGTGGAAGGTCACATATGAACGAGTCAGCAGTGCTAGACTCATGGATTCCAAAGGCAGAAGGAACCACTGTGGCCATCTAGTCTGACCTCCTGGATAACACAGGCCATGGGGCAAATAATAGCCCAATCTTCTAGTAAAACATCCAAGCCTGGTTTTAAAATGGCCAGTGAGGGAGACTCCTCCACAATACTTGGGAAATTGTTCCCTGGGTCAATTATTCTCACTGTTAAAAATGTACAGGCTATTTCCAATCTGCATTTGTCTTGCTTCAGCTTCCAGCCACTGCAGCGTGTTAGACCTTTTGCCTCTCGATGGAAGATCCCATTCTTCAATGTTTGTTCTTTGTGAACATACTGTACTTGCAGACCGTAATCAAGTCACCCCTTAATCTTTTTGTTAAACTGAATAACTTTTTCAGCCTAATTCCATTCAAGAACACTACTGCTTTGAGGGAAAATTATAAAACCGAAAGGGGAAAAATGGGGGCACACGGAGCCCCTGCCCTCTGATTAGCACAGCCACAGCTGTGCATCAACTTTGGGGAGTTTTCCTTTCCTCCACGTGAACATTTCATCTAAACCAAGACTTCAAGAAAACTTTCAGCGTCACAGAATCTGCATAACGTTTCTCCCATCTCTAATCCTAGCTCCTGCATAAGCATGGCCAGACTGGGTCAGATCAGAGGTCCATCGAGCCAAATATCCTGTCTTCTGACAGTGGCCAATGCCAGGTGCTTCAGAGGGAATGAACCAAACAGGTAATTACGGAGTGATCGATCTCCTGTCACCCATTCCCAGTTACGGGCAGACAGAGGCTAAGGCAGGCCTGCACAACTCGGAGAGCGGAGAGAGCCAATTACTCCAAAGAAAACAGCTGCGGGCTGCAAGTAGGGATGCTCTCCCAAAAAATATCGAACACGCGGGCTAAAAATTTTTGTCAAGCAAAAGCAAAAGAAAAAAAACCCCACACACCTTGCGTGTCTCCACTTGGCCCCTTGGCATTTGTCTCTCCTGCACCCTGCTCCTTGATGCCTTCCCCTTTCGCCTGACCTGCTCCCCTCCCCTCAGCACAAGCCCCTTCCCCTCCCCTACCTGGCTTCTGCCTTCCAGGTTGCAGGGCTGCGGAGCCTTTTTGAATCCGGCGGTCACCGGCCATGATGTCACTACGCCACGTCATGCCAGCATCCTGGCGTCTGCCGGCGTCCCGTCCTCTGGGTCGCTCCCTGCCTCCTTGTACCAGAGCTGCATGCAGGTAGCCCGGCAGCGAGAATCACCGCACTTCCCCCTCCGCCCAGCCAGCAGATCGGATGGGGCTGCGCCACCCGTAGTCAGCATGGGCCACACAGTGAGCCCCTGCAGGCCACATGCGGCCCTCAGGACATATGTTGTGCAGGCGTGGGCTAAGAACACCATCTCAGCCCATTCTGGCTAATAGCCATTGATGGACTATCCTCCATGAACTTATTTAGCTTTTTTTTTTTTTTAAGAATTCTGTTATAGTCTTGACTTTCACAATGTCCTCTAGCAAGGAGTTCCACAGGTTGACTGTGTGGCATGAATACTTTTTGTTTAGTTAAAACATGCAGCCTCTTAATTTCATTTGGTGACCCCTATTTCTTGGAAGGAGTCATTAACTTCCTTATTTATATTCTCCATACCAGTCATGATTTTATAGCTCTTGATCATATTCCCCCTTAGTCATCTCTTTTCTAAGCTGAAAAGTCCCTGTTTTATTAATCTCTCTTCACATGGAAGCTGTTCTATATCCCTAATCATTTTTGTTGCCCTTTTCTGAAACTTTTCCAATTCCAATGTATCTTTTTTTGAGATGGGACAACCACATCTACACACAGTATTCAAGATGTGGCCGAAGCATGGATTTACATGGAGGCAATATGATATTTTCTCTCATTATCTATCTGTCTTGTAATGATTGCCTAAATGCTGTAGGAAGGGAGTGGGTGATGTGCAGCCCCAGTCTCCCTGAGCTGGGAGCATGGAGAGGGCAGGTGAAGAAGTTCCAGCGTCCCAGGCTGGAGCACCTGGGAGGGAAGAGAGTGCGCAACTCCAGTCTCCCCAGCCCTGGAGCACACGGGCCTTAAAATCAGGAATAAGGGACCTTTCGGAAAAGGCTTTATTTTCCGAAAGATCCCTGTCTAGACTGGCGCTTTTTTCCGGCAAAGCCCCGAGCTGGAAAAAAGAGGCAGCCATGTTCATGCAATTCCGACTTGTCTCATCTGCATCCCTTTTCCAGAAAAGGGGTGCAGTGTAGACACAGCCAATGAGTTAAACCCAGGCAGGAATACCATGTCTCCAAGGAATTTGGAGCATGAGAATGGACTGAACAAAGAGAAAATTGGAAGTAAGTAAAAGGAAAAGTGAAACTAGTTGAGTTCAGGGTAATTTTTCTTGACTTTGTGGTTTGGTTTGAATTGCGCTGTGTGAATCTATGCCTTTCCTCCCCCTTTACCATCTAAGTTCTGTTCTGTCTACAAGTAAATGCTTGATACTGTAATAGGGTGATTGTTGCCTTAAAGGTAGTAAGGACTAGTGGTCATCAATGCCTCTTCTATAGTGTGTCTCTTTAAATCATGGGATTTTTAGAATAGATAGAAACCTAGGACCTAAAGGGCACAGCAGAGAACAGTTGTTGACCGACCACTAGTCCTTATTGCCCCCGAAAGGGACCTTCTGCAGGCATGCATTGCCTCGGCCCTTTCAATCAGACAACTGTGAGTGCTGAATGGAACATGCACCTGTGGCCACGCGCAGGCCCAGGGGATACACAGAAACACTCTGATTTGTACACGCAGTATCGCTCACACCCGCCTGGGAACTGGCCCATCAGAGCGCTGGGGAGGGGGCCGGGCAGGGGGCCACCTGCTGCTGCTTTAATTCCCAGTGCTTCACCCCTGTGAGAACGAAGGAGGGTGTGAAATTGCCACAGCCAGCAGCCAAAACTGTCAGAGGTCTGTCTTCGCGGCCACTCAGCTGTTGCTCCCCTCTGCACACGACCTCCCTCACCTCAGTTTGGTGGTACATTAAACCTAGGCTGGCTGACCCAGCTGGGGTACAGACTAAAGGGCCAAGCGAGGCTTTCACTGGGCTCAGAGCCACCCTGTCCATAGGACAAATCAGGGCAGCCATCCCAGGCCCTGTGCTTTTGGGGGCCCTGCAGCAGCCACTCCAAGTGCCCTACAGATGGGAAGGAACCAGGGATTATGGGGGGCTGGTGAGGAGTGACAGTGGGGATCACCCCCCTCCCCCCCCCACACACAGAGGCAGCAGGAGTTGGCACAGCCCAGCAACCTGTCCCACCCTACTGCACTGCTCTGCCGGCCTGCTGCGCTAGCGTCTCCGCAGCGGTGGGAAGTGGAACAGCCCGGCCCCTGGGTTCTCTGCTTCCCGCCGCCATGGGGAAGTGACGTGCAGCAGGCTGGGAAAGGAGGCACAGTGAGGCGGAGCAGGCTGCTCTGCGTCCTGCTGCCCATGTGGGGAGCGGAGAGGGAGCAACTCCTGCTGCTGTCTCATCAGACCCTCGTAATCCCCCAGGCCCAGTTGCTCAAGGGGGCAGAGTGGAGACGGAGCTTGTGGAAGAGCTAGAGCGGGGGCGGGGCCTATAGCAGGGAGAGGCTTGCCCCAGGCCCAGTGCCCCCCTCAGAATGGCCCCACTGGAGCATGTAATCTCCCACTTTGCAGTGTGAACGCAGGCTAAACCTCCTGCGTGCTAAAGCCCTCCCGCATCTTCTCACAAGTCCCCCTGTGCCCAGGAGGGACAAGTCTCCCACAATGCACTGGGAGCAAACCGCTGCCACAGAGAGACCCGTGGGACCCCTCAGGGATGTGACACACATAAGCAGCGTGGCATAGGGAGGACACCGACAGGCACTACCCTCCTCCACTGCAGTTTCCCATCACCGGAGTTAGCGCTGTGGTGGCAGAATCCCGGGAAGGCAGCCTGCAGGGACAGACTCACCGCGAACTTGTCATAGAGCTGGTAGGTCAGGAGAGGGTTGGGGAGCTCCCGGAAGTAGGCTTTGCAGAGGGAGCTGACGCAGTGGATGTCCTGCAGGTACACATCCTTGTTGAGATCGGGGCAGCGGTCACCATCGAACTCCTGCCTGTGAAGGAAGAGAGGGAGACATTGATTGCACCGGTGGGGAGGGAGACCAGACTGGGCCAGCTGGGGAGCTGCAGCAGGGCTTGCCGGCTTAGGTGGGACGTATTCCTGGATCAATCACCACACCGTCTACTCTATATTTGAGAGAGTTTGTCTGTGAGCGAGCAAGTCTGTCTATCCATCCGTTTGTTCAAGAACGCCTCCTAAATGGTAAGCGCTAGGACCACTAAATTTGGTACAGTATACGGCTTCCTCTTATCGTAACTTAAAGCAAGGGTCAGCCACCTTTCCGAGGTGGTGTGCCAATTATAGAATCATAGAACACTAGAACTGGAAGGGACCTCGAGAGGGCACCAAGCCCAGTCCCCTGCCCTCATGGCAGGACCAAGCACAGTCTAGAATAGAGAAGAAGCACCAAGATTTGTTTGCCAATCTTGTTTGCCAAGATTTAACCTCCTGACCTAGGCCATGCTGCTCTCCTGGGGGGGAGGCGGGGTGGGGGGGAGAAGGTGGGGAAGGGGGGAGGTTGTCTCCTTGGGACCTCGAGAGGGCACCAAGCCCAGTCCCCTGCCCTCATGGCAGGACCAAGCACAGTCTAGAATAGAGAAGAAGCACCAAGATTTGTTTGCCAATCTTGTTTGCCAAGATTTAACCTCCTGACCTAGGCCATGCTGCTCTCCTGGGGGGGAGGCGGGGTGGGGGGGAGAAGGTGGGGAAGGGGGGAGGTTGTCTCCTTCTCGTGCCCTGTGGACCACCTGGGTCAATGCAAACCTTTCCACAGGCTACCTGCTGCTAATGGAAACTCATTGTTAATTATATCATTTTGCTAGTGCAGCAGCTGGGGAGAACGGTTTCATTGAAATTATTAAACAGATTAAGCATTTTGGTGGGGAGGGGGGGGGGTTGTCTCCTTCTCGTGCCCTGTGGACCACCTGGGTCAATGCAAACCTTTCCACAGGCTACCTGCTGCTAATGGAAACTCATTGTTAATTATATCATTTTGCTAGTGCAGCAGCTGGGGAGAACGGTTTCATTGAAATTATTAAACAGATTAAGCATTTTAACTCTCATGTTAGTTTATCAAACTTCATTTTAAATATAGTAAAACGTGTCCAACACAAAAGGTTTCACTATTTCTTTATGGCAGGAGTGAGGAACCTTTTTTGAGTTGGGGGTCGCTGACCCACAGAAAAAAAATCAGTTGGGGACCACACAAGTGAGAAGCAACACATCTCCTCCACCTCATTGATGTGGTCCCAAACTGAGACCCCTCACTTGTCTAGCACTCCAGCCCCAATGGGGTGAGGGGAAGGAGTAGGGAGGACTGAGGTTCCGGACTTCCCATAGGCCAGATTTACTTTTCTGGGGTACCAAAGTTAGTGGATTTTGTGGGCTCCTTAGGCTCTGGGGTAGGAACAAAAATGGGGTGTTCAATGTGCAGGACAAGGCTGCCAGGGATAGGGATGCAGGATCTGGGTGGGAGGTGGGGTGCAGGACAGGGTGAGGAGGGCAGGGTCTGGAAAGGGAGTTTGGCGGCAGGAGAGGGCGGGAGGTGGGGGGGTCAGCCAAACAGCTAGTTGAGGAGGAAGGCAAAGAGGTGGGGAGTAAAGGAAAGTGCAGCTTTTGCAAAGTAAAATTATATCCCTCCCCACATTTCCCCTCTGCTCCAGCTACGCTTCCCTCAGCCCCACGATCCCCCCAGCGTGATCCCCTGCATTGTCCCATGCCACTCAGTGCAACCCCTGCCCCCTCTCATCCTGCCCCCGCATCCTCCTTCACCCCCGCTCCTGCCCCAGGAGTGCATCTCTGTGTTCCCCAGCGCATTCACCATCAGAACAGCAGTGCTGGGACTTGCAGACCCCCGGGAGCAGCACTGGGGTGAGGAGAGGTGGGGTTAGGGGCAGAGTCTCTTCCCTGCCCAGCCTAGCCCTTTTCCTGAAGGCTGCAGCTCCAGCGCTGGGGCAGACTGGTTGCAGTGGGGCGCCAGGGGAGGGGCTTCCCCCCCGCACACAGCTTGTGGGGAGCAGTGTGGTGCAGCCCAGACCCCAGGGTGCCATTTGTGCTGGCTGCCCAGCCCCGGCTCTGGAGCAGGCCCAGCCACGGCCCCACCAGAAGGAGGCGGCAACCCCAGGGACCCACATGCACTGCAGGAGGGTGGAGCCGGTGCCCCAGCCTGCAGCTGCACGGC